ACCGGAGAAAAGGGAGACGTCTCTATGACCTGCCTTTGCTCTCTCGCTGAGCCTTTAGCTGATCTAGGGCTCATTGTAGCTCCTCAATTTGAGGTAGCAGCACACTTAGGGATCACTTTCTGCAATGTGGGTTCGACCCTCACAGTTGCAGTTGAGGAAAGACCGTAGGTCAGATTCCTTTGTGCCTCGGCCGACAGTTCTGGTCAATCTCGACACATGCTAGCTAGAGTCTGTGATGGCGTTGCATGGTTTGGGGAACCTTCCCGCATCCGCGTGGTATGAACTGACCCGTAGACGGTGGGAACTTCCCGCACGATGACGATCAGAGTTGTCATTTTGGCGAAATGGGAATCTCCCCGACTTGCGCTTTTGTGGGAGTGCTCGCGCGACGTGTGATAATCCATAGATTATACAGTTTTCATTAGACTTTTTAATCGTTTCAGGTACTTTCTGGTGCTTTTGACCTGAATTGTTGCTTAATTCTTTACATTTCGTGTTTCAGGTTAGAATGAACATTTGAGCAAAAAGGACAAAATTGAAAATTTTTTACTCAGAATTAGCGGATCATAGTTATGAGATTCTGAAGCAGGATAAAGCACGATGAGGCTTGTTCCAAAGAGAGAAGCCGGAATCGAAAATCAAGTGAAGATGCAAGCAGTGGCAGTTCTGTAATTTCAGAACTTTTCAAGAAGCTTCGCCACACGAGATTTCTTCTTCGCCGCGGCGAAATGACCAGTCACGCTCCAGATCTGTTTGGTTCTTCGCCGCGGTGAGGTTTCTTCTTTGCGCGGCGACATCGCAATTTCTAGTTTTGTAAAATGCACAATTTTACTTTGTAGTGTTTTTCTTAGAATTTAGGGCGAGGTATAAAAGAAACACTTAACCTTTTTGCCCGGGTCGTCCAGAGTAGGGTTAGCAACTTTTGCATTGTTTTTGAGTTAGCTTGGAGAGATTGATCGATTGAAGGGTGAAGATTGGATTTTGAACCAAAAGATTCATCTTTGGGAATTTCTTGTCCTCTCTCTTACTTTTCGTTATGTTGAACTGACTATTATCGTTTTTCTTATTTAGTGTTAATTATCTATGAACTAACCCACTTTGGGTTAAGGTTTTGATTGTAATTTGGATTTCTAATGGGTTAATTTATTGTCAGTGTTATGTTCATATAACTATGTTTTGATTGTTTGTTTGCTCTGAGTTTTAATGCTTTATGTGATGAACATGATGAATGAGAAAATGAATCATGTTAGCTTCTTGGGTAATCACCATTATAGTATTGTTAGAGATAGATTCAAGAATTAATGAAATCATTGTAGGATTCTTATGCTTATGAGTTTGATTTGTTAACCTTCAATTGTTGGGTGCGGAAGGTTAAAAAAGAGAATAGGAAAACATAGCCTGAGGAGGTATTTTTAACACCTTAGTGAGTTCGGTTTACAATCAATTCATATGAATGTGAATGTAGTGTAATTTTTAGGTTTAACCCATAAATCCGAATGAAGTCAAAACCCTACCCGTTTTACTTGAATTGATTATCTGTGTTTTTCATCTTGCATTCTTAGTTAAATTTTAGTTTAAAATTTATTGTTCAGTTTAATTAAAATTGCTCCCTTATCCAAAGAAGTCGATTGCTCCAACTTGAGAATAGTAGAAACTTGGTGTTTAGCTAACAATCCTCGTGGGAACGATACTCTATTCATCATTATATTACTTGTGCGATTAGTAACTTGCTACATATTGCATGTTGAGGAAACACGCATCAACGTGGCACGGGACGGCTCAACGACAATGTCACTAAGCCTTACGCCACGGGTATTCTACCCGGGCGCAATCGGTGTTCGTTGGCCCCTCGGAGCCTCTAGGCCCGTTGTGCGCCCTTGCTTCCCTTTCTTTACGCGTTACAGTCGCGGCGGCATGGGCTGTTGCCCTTTTTCCGCTCTTATCATGTGACCTGCAGGCATTTTTGCGGTGACACCGCCTCATTCGATTCGGTGGCACGACCCGATCTAACCGTCCAACCTTTGGTTGACCGTTTGGAAATTATTGTTGAACCTCTCTAGGTAGCTCATGATGGTTGGGTCAAGCTGTGAGCTTGAAGGGATATCCCCCACGGTATTTTGTGGGATTGGGCATCTCGGGAAAATGTCCTCTTATACCTGGGGGATCTCCTCATCACCGTGATTGGTTTGCTCAAATTCAAATCAGCGAGCCATTTGCTATCGTGGACTGATTAGTTTAAAGATTCTCCTGATGAAGAACAAGTACTAAATCATGCCCTCCTTCTACCGTCAAACTGTTGATGCTGATTTTGACACCAACTAATCACACGTGGGAAATGTTGAGTTTGACTTAGAAACACGTGTATATGGGGGTTAGATTGAGTAAGAGATGAAGAACAATGTTTAAAGTTGTTCAGATGGTTAAAACAACGAATCCTATGTCTACTGATATTGTATTGATATAGATCAAGAAGTTGCGTATAGCGAGCTGATTTATAGCCTTGATAGTACAGAGAGAGAGAGAGAGAGAGAGAGAGAGAGAATATGCTATTCTTAGAGTGAAATATCTAATCCCACAAACGGAGAAGAGCCCTCTATTATAGTGGGATGAATTGAGATAATGATTACTGAATCTGTGAGTGGGTCCGATTGTCGTTTAAATCCTTCTCTGTTCCCGTTGCTCACCTACTCGAGTGATTTCCTCATTTGTGTAGGATGGGACACGTGGACATCTCCAGCCTTTCGCCATTCTGGCGCATACCCACTACACTAGCAGGAGCATGCCGCTCACGTCAGCATGCAATGTGGTTGCGTTTGAATGGCTGCAGAACCTAACTAAACTCTGACCGCCTATGCTGATAAGGCTCGGCGTCAGCCCTACTTTTTCAAGCATAACACACCTCAATTAATCTTCTGACCTAGACACCCTTTAATAATTATTGATCCATGGGTCAGATAGTCCAAATGTGGTTGATGGTTATTTGTATGACTTGAATACAAGACCTCGTGGTAAAACCAAATGGTTCCCATCAAAGATGTTGCTTTTTTTTTTTTTTTTTTTAAATCACCGGGGGTATTCAAGCTAGCCATTACCTTACTAATTCTTGAGGCTTGAATTGTTGATAAGGTAATTCAACTAATCCTCCGAGGCCTGAAACTGCTGACTAGGTAACTTAACTAATCTCCTAGAGCCTTAGAACTGTGACAAGGTAAGAGCCCTAATGACTTCACTATTAGTGCCTTGAGAAACTTAACTCATAAGTTTATAGAATTTATTTTGGCTCTTTTACCATCAAGTCCCCCAGTGGTGATTGATGTTGCTTCTCAACAACGAAAATTAACCAACATTCTTCCACGTGGTTTCTACCCTGATAACATGACAATTGGATAAGCTTTTCTACTTCCCTCCATTTTCGCTTGGTTGGCTGTGTCCATAAGACTATAACTATACAAGTTCCAAGGCCCAATAAATGTGGGTCGATTAGTGGCCTTGTAAGGATATTATGTCTTTTCACATGTTTGAAATTTTATTTGCCTATAAATACACTTCGTCCCCCAGACACTGATTCACGAACTCCTCAAACACTACAAAACATCTGTTTTTGGAGCTGTGCTCTTCAACGGCTTACAAAAGCTTCTGGCGGTTTGTGATACACAGAAGACAACGTAGCAATGTTGGCAAGAAGTTCATCAAGAAGAGAAGAATCAAGTTGGTTTGAATCATCAGTGATCACAGGCTTCTCAGCTAACACAACATCCTTAGCTGCCTGAGAAGTAAAAAATCAGGCTCGTCACATTTACAGCTGATAAACAATGGCCTTAAAATTCCATTCTAGATGCATATATGCAAACAAAGATCCTAAAGACCCAAAGGTTTCAACACGGTAATTGTACCAATTATAGACACCTTTCCTCCAAGGGTTTGGCATGACTAGATCCGTGTGAAAAAAACACTTCAAAATTTGACACAAATAAGATGGATAAAGATATTGTTGGGTTGGATAATTTACTCTCTAGAGGTTGTTGGGAAATTCTACAATGCATGGCTGATAATGAAGACTGGCACAACTGATATGCACTTTTACAGTCCTCCCCAAATTAATAATAATAAAAAATAGAATAAAAGGCAGAGAGTGTAATGCCAATGCGTTCATATTCAAGCATATCTGGTGCTATTGAATTTGAACCGATACAAAAAGAAACTTGACACTGATTTGAGTAAATCCACACCTAGGATCAGTTGACAAAAGACGCCGATACGTATAGCAACTGAGTCGAACTCGATACCTCAAACTCGATCAGGCTTGAACTCGAACTCGTTATCTTAGCAACCGAGTTAAGTTCGAGTAAGTTTCTACTATGATAACGTTAACAATACGGTAAGCTTTTACCCTCTATTTTCGTTTTGGTTGGCTTTGTATCAACAACTACACAAGTTCCGAAGGGGCAATAAGTTTGGGTTGGTTAGTGCCTTGTAAGGATATTATCGTCTCTTCATATTGTTTAAAATTTTATATATTTGCCTATAAATAACACTTCCCCCTGAAACTCATAAATCTTTCTCGAACTCCTCAAAAACTCAAATGGAATCCACGGAGAAGAAATCTAATCACCACAAACAAGATATTGGACATGGTATCTTCGATCTTAAATTTCAACTTCATCTCAGAATTTCACTTAATCAACAATGTTTATTGACGTTTCTGATTTTATATTTGTTCAGGTGATAAAGGTCGACCTAGCAAGAAAACTAAATTTACTAATAAGGTTCTTATTTCTTCTCATTTTACAATTTTCTCAATTTTCTTATGGATATCTTACAGTTCAGTTCTTAAAGAATCAAGCAATTTGTGCAGGAGGATCCCTCCAAATTTGTTGAAGACGATGACGCCTATTACAACGAAGATGGGGATGATCTTCACGATGGTAATTTTTTTTTTATATATTTATTATTATTTTTAATATTTTGAGATTTCTTTGTTTGGCATAATTAATTGGTGAAATGTTAAAAATTGAAGGTGAGAAAGAAGAGAAAAAACGTGATTTTAGTAAATTAGAACTAAAACCCGATCACCCTAATCGGCCACTGTGGGCTTGTGCTGATGGACGAATATTTCTTGAAACATTCTCTCCTCTATACAAACAAGCTTACGATTTTCTCATCGCAATAGCTGAGCCTGTTTGCAGGTACCATTTTTATATTTTTAATTTTTTTTTTACATTTGGTGTAGTTTAGTAAGTTTTGTTATGTAATTAATAATTTTGATTTGTAATATTGTAGGCCTGAATCTATGCACGAGTACAATTTGACTCCACATTCACTGTATGCAGCAGTGTCCGTGGGACTCGAGACTGAGACTATCATTTCTGTATTGAATAAATTGTCAAAAACAAAATTACCGAAAGAAATGATTGATTTCATACATGCCTCGACGGCTAATTATGGGAAAGTAAAACTTGTGCTTAAGAAGAATCGGTATCTTGTTGAATCCCCATTTCCAGAGGCAAGTTAGTTGTTCTTTTGTGGAATGCTGGTCTCGAGGCTTGGTCTTAAGCCCTGATTTTGATGCATGCAGGTGTTGAAGAAGTTGCTTCAAGATGAGGTGATATCAAAGGCTCGGATTAGTTCTGAGGTTGGTTATTAAATATGATTGAAATCATTGGTTGTGGGCGTGTATATATTGTTCTTTACAGTATAGCTAATTATAATATACATTTATTACCCAATAGTTATTTCAAAATGTAATTTAGTCTCTTCTTACTTGCAAATGTTTGGATTATTTACTCTTGAAAGTATTTAAGCGTAATCAATTTATTGGTTCTCTTGTATGTTACTGTTTCCTCTGAGTTGAATCTTGGTGACATGGATCTATTGTGTTTAGGCCTTCCATGGAAGCGATGGATTTACAGTGAGCAAGTCTTCTGGTGAAATTTTAACTGGTCAGGATGAGTTGCTAAATGAAGCAGAATTGGCAGCTGCAGCTGAAGAAAAAGAAACTCACTCATTTGAGATTGATCCTTCCCAGGTATGTGTTGAATGTTAAATTTCTGTAGTGGATCTCACAGTGACCATACATGTTCATGTTGCATCATATCATAGGCATGCTTTTGCCGACATTAGCTGACAGCTTTTGTTCTTTTTGGTTCCTTTAACTGTAAAGACCATCTATTTGGTGTTATTTTGCAAAATCCCATGTATCATGTACATACATTTATTAATTTTTCTGGAAATAAACAATTAGACCAGAGGCAAAAGCATTTGATTATCAAGTACCAAGAAGTATCAGTTGGTTTTGTTGCAATGAGTGTCAGGCTAAAATGATTTGATAACATTTTATTATTTATTGGAAGGAATTTGAGTTTATGTATTGGAGTCATACTATATGGTTTTATATTAACTTATCTTTATGTAACTGTTCTCTACTTGCAGGTTGAGAATGTAAAACAGCGTTGCTTGCCAAATGCTTTAAATTATCCAATGTTGGAGGAGTACGACTTTAGAAATGATACTGTAAGTAACTAATTTCAACTCCATAGACTTGACTGGTAGTCCAGTCATAATCAGGGATTTTACAGACCTTTTTCCCATAATATTTGATGAAAAGCTCTTTTGATCTGGCAGATCAACCCTGACCTTAATATGGAACTTAAGCCTCATGCACAACCACGGCCATATCAAGAAAAGAGTCTCAGTAAAATGTTTGGAAATGGTAAGGTTATATTTGGTTAAAAACATTTATAGTAAAATTTATTTGCTGTTGAAATCTTATTTGACAAACATAAATTCACATTTTTTTTTTTTTTTTTTTTTCTGGAATGGGACCTTTAACATAGTATATCTTAGAAATAGGAAATCTATATGCATAATTCTTCAGCTAACTGGGGAATCATGTGAAGGAATCTGATCTGTGTATCATTTGTTTGTAATTTCTTCCCCTCATATATGGCTGTATTGAATCTTTACTAGGAGATGGCATCTTCTTTACCTAGTGACAACATTCCACCACTTCTTTGTTTGGCTTCAAGTGGATTGTAAACCAAGACATTACCTTGTGGATTTACAATATGAGTATGTGAATTGCAGGTAGAGCAAGGTCTGGCATTATTGTACTGCCTTGTGGTGCTGGAAAGTCTCTAGTTGGTGTTTCTGCTGCAAGCCGGATAAAAAAGAGCTGTCTTTGTTTGGCAACAAATGCTGTTTCTGTGGACCAGTGGGCCTTCCAGTTTAAGTTGTGGTCCACAATACAAGATGATCAAATCTGCCGTTTTACTTCTGATAGCAAAGAGAGGTTTCGCGGCAATGCAGGAGTGGTTGTGACCACATATAACATGGTTGCTTTTGGTGGTAAAAGATCTGAAGAATCTGAAAAGATTATTGAAGAAATCAGAAATAGAGAATGGGGTTTGCTTCTCATGGATGAGGTAATTATATGATTCCTTGATTCAAAGTCATTCTATATTGGTTTATTGAGTTATCAACCAACTAAAGATATGTGTTCCTTGTGGAATAATGTATTTATGATATCTTCTGTCCAGGTTCATGTGGTTCCTGCTCACATGTTTCGTAAAGTTATCAGCATCACTAAATCACACTGCAAACTTGGGCTTACTGGTATCATTCTGATAATATTATTTTTGATCATTCTATGTCGCTAACCTTCATCTTTTGTCATTGAGAGTGCAAAATTTATTGACAAATTGAATTGCAGCAACACTCGTGAGAGAGGATGAAAGGATCACAGACTTAAATTTCCTTATTGGACCCAAATTGTATGAAGCAAATTGGTTGGATCTAGTCAAAGGAGGATTTATTGCAAATGTACAATGTGCTGAGGTATGGTGTCCAATGACAAAGGAGTTCTTTGCTGAATATCTGAAGAAAGAAAACTCCAAGAAGAAGCAGGTTTGTCAATTAAAGAATGACTCTTTAGTTTTGTTGGATAAGTTTCAAATTTAAAATTATTCTTTTCCCTTCTTTTTCCTGTATCTTTGTATTGCATTTACATCGGCTTAAGAGAGTTTCTTTACTTTTCCTTTATTGTGAAAGTGAATGAGTGAATTTGCTATTGCTTTATGAATAGTTCTAAAAATGAACTAATCTTCTATATTTCAGATTCTATGATTATTTTAATGTTCCTTTTCCTGTCTCAACTTTGCGTTTTCTTAATTTTCAGGCCCTTTATGTGATGAATCCTAATAAGTTCCGAGCATGTGAATTTCTCATACGGTTTCATGAACAGCAGCGTGGTGATAAGATAATTGTTTTTGCTGACAATCTTTTTGCCCTTACGGAGTATGCAATGAAACTTCGCAAGCCCATGATCTATGGTGCTACAAGGTTGTTCATCACCATTAATTGCTTGTGGAGATTTGATTTTACTTATGCTTTTTTTCATGGCTAATCATCCATCTTTTTCTGCAATTTACAGCCATGTTGAGAGGACAAAGATTCTGCAGGCTTTCAAATGTAGTCGTGAAGTGAATACTATCTTCCTGTCGAAGGTATTTTTTGTGAAATTCAATGTCATCATTTTGCTCCAGTTATTTAACTATTGTTGGACCGTGTTTTCATAAAGGGAACTCTGTGGTGTCAAGTTATAACACGTATAAGGAAGGGAACTTTGTTTAAGCTTTTGAATTTGCTCTGCATATGCCAAGTCATATCCTGTAGATTGACCATTGGAAAATGTTTTGGTCCTTTTCCAATTGTGGGCATAAATTTGCTCAACTGAAACTTGAGGCATTGAAGGTGATTTTGTTGTTTCTGTTGTTCACAGGTTGGTGATAATTCTATAGATATTCCTGAGGCAAATGTGATAATCCAGATTTCATCTCATGCTGGTTCAAGACGTCAAGAGGCTCAGCGTCTGGGTCGTATTCTTAGGGCAAAGGTTTGTTTTGCTAAGCTTCAATAGTGAGTATAATATATTTGGCTGCCTGGGTTGATAATCAGCACGATGAATATTGCTCACATAATATACATCACAGAGAGCTTATATGCTTATTAACGAACTATGCTTATGAAAAAACTTATGAATTAAGTTTAATTTGTTAGATGTCTTGTTAAGATGAATTGTGTAGCAAAGGAACGAGATTATATCATTTTCTATGGGAAAGGAAAGGATGACTTATGGACATTTATTCTATGTTATTGTTCTTATTTGTGGTGTTAACCATCTGATTTAAGTTTTCTTATTGCCGTACGCCCCTAATTCAATTTGTTTGTTCTTAAAATAATATTGCTCAAATTTGGGTCCACAGGGTAAGCTAGAAGATAGGATGGCTGGAGGCAAAGAGGAATACAATGCATTTTTTTACTCCCTTGTTTCTACGGATACTCAGGTGTGCTTCTATTTTCCTTTCAACTTGTTAAATGCTCCATGTATAAGCAGCACTGTTGAGAATTCGAAACAACCACACCACCACCGGGCCTTTTGAGCTTAGTGTCTAAATTAATCTTTGTTGTCTGCAGGAGATGTTCTACTCAACTAAAAGGCAGCAGTTTCTGATTGATCAAGGTTATAGCTTTAAGGTACATCATTTTAACTATGCACTAGTTTAATTTATATATGAAGTGGGGATCATTCCTTACTGATGAGGATGGTCATTTACTTATTAGTAGCAAAGTACCTAATTAGATTCTGCAGTTAGTATGAGGAAAATTGTCATTCCTTAAATGTACAGGATCCTCCAGGTTGTTAATACCTTCTACATACATTAGTGGAATATTGTTGGGTGTTGGGTAATTGTTAAAATTTGCTTCAATAGTGTTGGAAGCATATGTGTGCATGTGCTTGCATGATTCTTGATGAGGTTGCTTCAATGCTTCTTTGTTAACGTCACTGTTACTATAACTGTGAAGTGCTTTGATAGCACTCTGCGTGTTGCATGCTGCATTGCTATTAGGTATAATGAGTGCCATTAATATAGCTGAACTTGAACTGGTTCACCCAATAGCTTTCAAGTGCAGCAACTGTTACATTTGGGTCATGGTTGGTATGCTATCTTTGGATCCTAATGTAATTTTCTGACAGGTAATTACGAGCCTGCCTCCAGCTGATTCGGGAGCCGAGTTGAACTACCACCGTTTGGATGATCAATTGCAACTTCTCAGCAAGGTTTCTTTTCTTTTCTTTTCATTTTACTTTTCACTTTTAACACTTTTGTGATTGATGAACTAGAAGTTTCTGACATGTTTTACATTTTAGGTATTAAGTGCTGGCGATGATGCAGTTGGTTTAGAACAACTAGAAGAAGATGCAGATGACATAGCCCTTCACAAAGCTCGTCGCTCAATGGGATCCATGAGTGCTATGTCAGGTGCAAATGGGATGGTTTACATGGAATACAGGTTTGGTTTTCCTACGTTTTCAAATCTGTGCAGAATCTTAGGTTTTTTTTGCCAAAGTTGTAGACAGAAAGAACTTTTGTCATCTGTCATTTTTGAATCAGTTTCTCTTGTTAAATGCCCTATCTCTTGTAAATATATAATAAAAAATGATTTCATCCTCTTTTACAGTACTGGTCAGAAGAGACCTGGGCAAGGCCATCTTAAGAGTAAACCTAAGGATCCCGCCAAACGCCATTATTTGTTTAAAAGACGCTATGGCTGAGGTAGCATTCAACACAATAATGCAGAAGATTGTGGTTCCTTTAGCCCTTGTTCATACTGCAGCAAGTCGCCATTTTGCATGAGGTGAATTTGCGTGAAAAGTTTGTATCAAAGAACCATGAACAGTTTGCCCGAGTATAATATTTTATACGAGTCTATTATGATCGAAAAGAGACGAGAGCTACATATTTTCAAGGTTTGATGTAGCTACGCCTTGTGAGCTTCATAAAATCAATAAGAATTTTCATCCCCTTTTCTGGTTTGAATTTCTCATCTGGGCTCTGGTGGCTTGTCACTTGCCAGTAAAATACGAAATGCTATATGGAAGGTACCCAATTGGTTAAAATTTTTCTTCCACTTACTCACGTTGGAAATGTCTTATCAAATCAAGATTGTACTGGAAAAAGGGTTTGTGTTGTTGATTAAAACACCCCCAAATACAAGAAATTGAAGTAAAATTGTATCAGGACTCCATCCACCGAAAGCATCCCCAAAGTCGATGACATTTACACAACTTGAAGATCAAACAACTTTGTCAAAAGAGAGACATATGAAAGACAAATTTCATTTCAATTAGTTCAGAGTTCAGACTCTACATTGAAGTGATCAATGTCTTTAAGCCGAGAAATGCTATACTTACAAACTTGCGTATATAAACTGATTCAACAACTAATTTATAATTATGTTCATAAGGTGAACTGTGTTAAAAAATATTGAAGGACAGTACAGCCATCAAAATCATAGCATTTTGAGTGAAGCAGCCGACAATTGACAAATCAAGTATTGAAATGATAGTATTTTCCCACGATGATGTGATGTAAATGGTACTTGAAAAAGTTTAGACCATGGCCTTGAAGTTGTAGCCTCCACGAGATCAATTTGCACTGCAGCCATTCAGAATTTTTCTACCTTTAAAACACCCACGTACTGACGTTTGATTTACCTCAACTGGCGTTCGGTATTGGTTAGTTTTCAAGTTGCTGCTGTTAAGCCACACCAGCGCATTAGCATTTCACACAAACAAATTATCTCTATTTTTTTTTTTAGTATACTTAAAAGATTTTTATTCAAGTCTTATTTTAATGTTAATAAGAATATATTAAAACTTTTATCGATTGATAATTTAGAGTTCTATAAATAGTTGAATTACACAAAAGTTTGACGGATGGTCATATAAAAAAGAAAAAAAAATCAATGAAGCATGAAAGAGAAACTGAAGTTGGTAAGTGACCCCAGAAACACACTTTCGACAGAAAAGTTAATTGATGGATGGCTTTTTGGATTCTTCACACGTCGGATGATTTCTTTAATTTCTGGCTTACGAAGGCCTAGTAGGGTTCTAGCATTTGACTGCTTTTGGAACATTTCTCCCTCATGCTTTTTAATTGCTTGCACTTAATCGTCTAAACCCCACTTCCATTTCATTTCAGACAACACAAATTATTTATTACACCACCTACTTGATTAGACAAAGAAAATTAAAAAAAAAAAAAAAAAAAGCTACTCACCCATAAGGCTAAAAGATTCACTTCACCAAGCAACATGCAAGAGACCATTACTGCTCATTTAATTTTTAAGTCATGAAAAGGCAAAGAGAATAAGAGTAATCACAAGCGTTCTCTCTCGGTTAACGAGATTTATTCTTATTTTTTTGAGTTCTTGGGTTACTTATCAAAATAATATTGTGACTTATCTATTCCTTTAGACTTGTAGTTGTTTAATGAATTAAGATTAGTTGAGATATGCGTAAACTATCCAATATCCCTGTTAAAAAAAAAAAAAAAAAAAGAATAGATACAAGCACATTACAATACTTGTAGCTTGATAAAGATATTACCTTTTTCTCAACAATCCCCCGAGTAGTGGACACAAAGCTACCAAAAAACTATAATGGTTAGCAGTAAAGAAAGACTGAGTCCACCTATCACAACAAGTCTTAAACAGTATAACCCCATAAAAACAAAATTCTTTATACATCCTATATATATCTCAAAGAGAGACCAAAAAGAAAAAAAAAAGTAAGAAATTCTTCTAATAAGAGAGAAATATTTCTTTGCCATTATCAAATGTCAACCATAACCCTTCACTGATGACTGCTGGCTATCTCTTTCAGGTTAAGCATCAAGAATCAATTCATACTGTTTATTGATTAGAGATTGGTAGCTGTCTGTCTGTTTCCTTTCTTTAGGGTGTATATAGTTTTTGAAAAATTGCATGTTTCATATACTACATTATGAGTCTTAATATAAAGTTTGATTGGATTGCTCTACTGCAAAACATAATTTAGAGAGAGATCCCACATTCAATTGAAAATGGTCTGCAACTGGATGATGGGTAGGCTAGCTGTTTAATAACTGTAGAACTTGGTTCTTCACAAAAGGAAGAAAAGAAGAAAACCCTTTAGAAGTTTGTTCTTTTCTTTCTCTTTTCATTATGATTATTTGTTGCCTTAACAAAGTTTCATCATCAGTGACATAGGGATCTTTCTTGTCTGCTACATGGAAATTATTTAACCATAAAGCCAGTCCACTTAACATTCATAAACCATTCGTTGCGCATACTTGTGATAATATATTCTGTTAAACAATTGCAAAACCAATCACTAAAAAACTTATAGAACTTGGAAAATTTTGATCACCACAAGAGTATCTATTCTCTTGGACTGGACAGAAGACACTTTTTAACATTCATTTTCCTATACTCATCATCTTCTCAATCCCGAGACTTTTCTAAGAAGCCTACCGGTTAATCATCTCATAATCTATAGCTGTACAATGATAGGATATTGAAGCTAATTCATTTAATTTGTTTCTTTTAATATTGATGTGGTCAAAAGTGTGTCTTTGGAATCATTGTTGTTGGGTGCTTATATGTATGATATGATCGATTATTATAATAACCTTCTTTTCTTTACTGCTCTCCCCATTAACTGAGTTGATGTCTTTCCAATTTATTCACTTTTAAATATTTTTTTCATAAGAAGAAGATGTTTTTGTAGCCTTCAAGTGATCACACATCATAGATTTTGAGACCAAGAAAAAAATTAAATCAATTAGGGAGCTGTAGCTTGAAAAGATTCGGCTTGTCTTGCCTTTTGTGACTCTAATTAGATGCTCATCAATATATCATCTCTTTTTCAGTTTCCATTGTCAAATTTTCATTGGAGTAGCCTAATATAGGCATAGGGTTGTCAAGCTCAACAAGGAAACTAGGTTCTTTCACAGAAAATGTTCATATCTTTTTCTGTAAAGAAGGTGCCCAGATGATGATCCATTATTGATAATGCTAGACGGGAGAGATGCCAATCTTGATCAAACATAAAGACTTTTGTCCATTTATATGACTTAAATTACTGGTGAAAGCATCTCCTTGTATTTCCTTATATTATTCATCGATGCCACGAGCCTTCCCACAGGATGAACTGAGACAAAGAAAATGTTATAATACATAGAGATATGTACTCTCATCTTTGGCATATCAAATTTTCAATTTGAGGTGATCGAATCCTGCAGATTTCGGTTCCTGCCAGTATGGACTTAAAATATATTGTGCCCTTTGAGAACAGTGCTCTACTGATATAGTCAGTATGACACCTGGGAACATCACTTTATAGGTGGGATTGATTCAATTTCATTTCAACATAAAACTACTCCAAGAAAGATTAATATAGTTTTTATACATTGCTCATTAATTAGCCTATTCTGAACAAAGTACTGCTCATGCTTTAATTTAACAACAAAAAAAGGATTTAGTTTTGTTGTTTCTGATATAAAGTTGGTTAGGTAAAATTGCACCAGATAGCTCTGAAATACTTAGAATAATCAATCAATATCACCTCAATCATTGGTTCATATATTATAAAGATTTCAGGAGCAGGGTGGTATAAGTTCTTTGCCACCTGCAAATATATATATTTTTTTTCCTAATTTCATTCAAACCCATTTCCATGTGAACATGACAGTCTCACAGAGAGTGAAACATGTGCCATTCATCCACAATCCATGGAGAGACATGAAAATTCAATACTTGATCATCATTAAAGCCATGGAGTTGACAACACTAAGGAATTGAAACATTAAACAATATAATAGATTAAATACTGTCCTCCAGGCCTGGAAATTCTTTGACTGCTCTCTGATTGGAAATTTAAAATCTCACTTTAGTTTTAAAAAAACAATAAATTTCCCTCACACTTATGCACTCTGTCTGCCTTTTCCAATTATGGGCATGAAGGGCTATCTATTCTCATCCATAAAAACTAAAGACAAACAGTCTACATGAAGGGCTATCTATTCTCATCCATAAAAACTAAAGACAAACAGTCTATCCCAAGCAAAACAATATCAGTTTAGACTTTTCTCATTGCTCCCAAAACATCATATCAGTTTCTTATAGTCAAATCTCTACTTGCTCCCAATTTTGCTTTAAAAATTTTCTCCTGATTCAATCAATTGCCATAGCAAACAAAATAACAAGTGTAATCTAACTTCCCTCCTCTTGTGGGGTTCAAGCATGCTATGATTTCCAATATTTTATTTTTCTATTGCTTCTTGCTCTTGGTGCGCCAAGTAGTCAATTGACTTCTCATAAAAAAATTAGAACAAGAAACCAGTACATGATCTTGTACATTTTCACATACATCAAATACAATTGAATATAAGTATATTCCAGATTTCGAACAAGGATTGCCCTTTATGGCTGCCAATAGCATAGACTTACAGTATTCCCATTGAAAGTGAGGCCAACTTGCAAGTTGCAGTAGATTTTTAAATGGCATTGAGTTTAAAGATCAATTACAATTCTAACATCAATGGAATCTACACCTCAAATGTTGATGAGAATTCAATAAAGAGAGCTAAATTCTTGAAAGGAGGTGGCATCCGTACACTTAAAGACTAATTTAAAATTTGATTCCTAGGTAAGGCTAAGAACCAACATAGAATGGTAAGAGTTGATGGATCATTTTTTAAGATGATCTAATCTCATGCATGCAAAGGTCACCAAGCCCTTTTTTTCTTTTTTCTCTTTCGAAAAAAGCAGTTTTGAAACAGTTACCCAAGGAGCTGGTCCCTTGGAAAGAAGTATGGGTCATTTCCCTTAACGACTGTTTCAATTATGAGTTCGATTACATATTCTGGAAAGCCATTTGAAGGTTTAAAGAGACAGAAACCTGCAGTAGCATCTCATAATTTACAGTTTAAAATAAAAGCTAAACAACGGCTGGTAGCAAAAGGTCAAAACAGTTGTCATTATTATTAGCATTGAGTATTCTGATATACAATATAAACATAAAATCATATACAAAGACAACTGCGAAAAGCTGCTAATCCTACAAGAACAAATCTGAAACTTAATTTAACGTAAGTTCATCATGCAGTAACTTATTGAAAAAGAACTTCTGAATTTTGTTTTTCTTCAAAAGGGGATCTGTGTTCTTCGATCGATGTTCTATTGACCTAAACATTCATTCATTCATTCATCCTAATTGGAAAAAAGGGTCACTATCCATCTCAAAGCAGCCATAATACTGGAACTGGTGTTGTCCGTAACTGCTCACAAAAGCTGGTCCTCTCATTGTCCCATGATCGTCTTCTTCATGCAACCCACCAAGCTACAAAAAAAGTCAATCAACACAGACTTTATAATTTTATATATATATAAGAATAGTCCGGAAGGAAACTATATATAATAAAAGAAAATTAAACAAATATATTAATTACTTACACAGAGCTCGTCTTCGTCTTCATATCTGGTTGAACATGCAGCTTTGGGAATCTCTCCAGTTTCGTCGTTGCGCGCGAATCTGCCACGTATACGTGGTCGGTTGTCCGCTAGCGTTTTGCGGCATGCATACTTGCATCAACAGAAAGAACCAGAAAAACCAACCGCATTTAATTCATATTTAATTAATCAAAATACGCATATAATAATCTAATCATGATTTTACTTTCTTTAATTATTGATTAGTAATATAAAAATTTGATTACACAAATAATAAATTAACTACCTTAATCGTCTTGTTGAAGTTCCTTTGATTTCGTTTAGCTCTGTACTTCAAAATCTTTTCTTTTCTTTCTTCAGCACTGTAACGCCCAACTTTGAAGTTTGCTTCCTCCGTGAATGGGCTCTCTGTTGCTACATGACTTGAAAAAGACCTCTGTGGTTTATGTGCTGTTCCTGTATTCTAAAATACCCACGAGAATACAAAAGAAACAAATGTTTAATTAGCATGAAAGTGACAAAAGAAAAAGGAATTTTTTTTCACTAAAAACAGAGACAAACAGGGGATTCAAGTAAACAAATTACTTGTAAATCTCCAGTACTGCAAACCCTCCTCATTTGCCCACTGAAAAAGTTACTTTCAGGTGAACTCAAGGCTTGGTTGTTAACATTTGGAGGCTCCATCAGAGTATCAAAGCGAGGTTGAAAGAGAAAACCAGATTTATTATCAAAAGAATTGCTACTATAACTCCTCTGCATATACTTTGCTACATTTTCAACACCACTATAACTGCGAGGGACAAAGGATTGTTGTTGTTGATTATAACAAGAATCAAAACCCACCAAAGACTCCTCACTTTTGACTTCCATGGCGTCTAAACTAGAGAAATCTTGGTACCCATTTGCAAGAGGCTGCAAATGAGTAGATTGGCAAAGGCTCAGATTTTCAAGAAGGTGACTTGGCGGCGAAGAAGAAAGAAGAGTATGTGTATGTTGGTCAATTGAGGAAGACTCATGAACCAGGTGATTTGGGTTGATCATTGAGGTATTGTTTGGGTTTGAGATTGCTTGAAGGATATGAAGAGAAGAGTCACAAAAAGGAGAGAAAGGTTCAGTGAAAAAGTTAAGGTCTCCAACATCAGAAGAGACCATTTCTGGGCTTGAATGTTGGCGGTAAAAGGAGCTATCAAAAACATAAAGATCAGAAGACATTTTTGAACTGAAATTCTTTGATTGGAATGATCTCTAAAAACCAAAAACACTGAAAAAAAAAAAAAAAACAATAAAGAAAAAGCTGTTGATGTTGTTTCTATAGAATTACTATTTTCTTCATGGCTAATTGGTCTGCGTATTTGGTTGTGAAACGGCTATGAAGCACAGCTGACACTTGGGCTCTAATTTATTTAATCAAGGATTGGCATTACCACAGGCAAGAAGACAAAGAACCAGTTTCTCGTCTCTCTCTTTAGAAGAAAAACAAAAATTGATTTTCTATCCAACAAGAAGAATGGAGATTGCTCCACTTCGCAACTCACATAAATAAAGCACTAATTTACATATGTGCCACTAAACTTTTCTTAAATTCTAAATATTCCCCAAATACTTTTGGATTCTTTCGTTTTGCGCCCTAGGTAGTAAACCAATATCCCCTTTTAACTTTAGGAACCTCCTACTTTGACTGACATGATATCGATAATCACCGTCCATTTTAATAAAATATTAAATAAAAAAAATGATCTATATTTAATTAGAAAGTAAGAGAATCTATATTAATTTTATTTATTTTTACTATAATGTGACTGATATATAAGTAAATAATTCTCATACTTGATTTAAATAATCGTATATATGATTTTTTTTTTATTAATTAAGATATTCGATTGATTTCTTTTTTTTTTTTTAATTGAGATATTCGAATTGATTTATATGCATCTTAATTAATCCTTAAAACAAACTATCTTATAACAGTCCACTAATACGACTCTTCAAATAAATAATAGACAAAAGTATTACCCCATTCAATTGATATTATCGACCCTTTGTTTTATTCTAACCAAAATATAATTATTTCTTTAAATGTCATTCTATAATATCAATTTAATACCATACATAAATAAATATTATTATTTAAAACTAGATTTAGTATTTTTTTTTTGGGTAATTGAATTTTATAATGAATAAAAAATAACGACTAAATGGGAAGACCTCTAAATAAATTGACCCTTGGAGAAAACAAGGAGATCGGTAACAAAAGAAAAAACAAAAACAACTAGAAAGACAATCCTTTACAAGAGAACCCCTTTACTAGATTTAGTATTAAATACCTCTATAAAGGAATTTTGATACTTTCATACGTAGTTTTTCATATGTTTAAGAAGAATATTTTTGAATTTATTTTTACAATTTAAATAATTTACCAAAAAAAAAAAAAAAAAAGAGTTGCCGGCAACAGATGTGTTCTAGCCCATGAGTGAAACAACACTTGTAACACTATAGTGATCAAAGTCCGCCGATATATCTAATGGTGTTTGAAGTGGTCTAAATCACCTCATTTTACAGCAATTTTCGAAAATCCAGAATCAACTGTTTTTAAATCGAGGGACTCATGTCTGGACAGACGAGGAGACCCACTTTCTGATTTTTTTTTTTTTTTTTTTTTAATTTCAAACCTCAAATCGCACACCGGATCTTCAATCTAATCAAAATCAACCGAAGTGTTAATGTGCCCGAGTTTGAATCTCGCCAGATCAGACGGTGAAGATGGCGTCCGACGCTGCTATGGAGAAGATGCAGCTCCGTCAAACCTACCAGAACATGTGGCACAGTGACCTCTTGGGTTCCATTAAAAAAGACACTCCTTGTATGTTTTCTATTTTTTTTAATGTCCGTGTTTCTGTTTTATAACGTTTAGGGTAATTTTTTTCCCCTGATATATTATTTGGTGCTTGTGTTAATGTGCAGATTGCTGCTTTGCGGTTTTCTGGTGAGAATTTTAGATCTTCATTTTTTATTCTTGTTAATTGCGGTTATGGATCTGTTAATTATCAGCTGAATTTTGTGATAGTCTAGGGTTTATTTTGTTTGATAAAATTATAATTTGTGGTTATTAAATTTGCTAATTTAGGTTAAATTTCTTTAACCTATTCTTAACTTGAAACTTTATAGTTAATTATATATCATGTCCATTTTGTTTCTTATAAAAAATGTTGCAGTATTTGAAACAGGGTAATGCTTATAAAGTTAGGATCTCTATTTTTCTATCTCACTCGTGTGGCAGTTGATTTGACAACTAATTCACTTATCTCATCGTTCTAGAGGTGTTGTGAAATCATCATTAGCATTATTGTTTGAAATATTATACATTAGCAATTTAGCAGGCATGAGGAGAAACAGTTGTTTTTTTTTTTTTTTTTTTTTTAACCCTATAAACAGTTGCTGAATTATGCAGGTACTGTTAGGTTTAGCTAGATTGCTCTACTCTATTTAGTACAACTTGTTAATATATTCCATACTGAACGTTGCAATTGTGTTTGTCTTGACATACTGTTAAATTAGCTGCTCTTAATTCTTTCTTGAGTTACCATTTTTCACTTTAATCTTTACCTCTCTTTGCTGGGGAATGAATTAGTCCATTCTGCAATAATTTTTTATTTTCTGATTTTTGCTGATCTCGTTTTGATTACTTTTTTAATTTATGAGATATTTAATTATAAACTGTTTGCTCCTTTGCATCGCAATGCAGTGCATCTGGTTCACCTTGTTTTTTGTAGTCCCCCATGTGTATCTTACATACTTTGGAAACGAGCACTTTACAATGACATGTCCAGGTACTTCTGATTCTGTTTAACTCTGATCTGAGCTGTTTTAATATGTAATATTTTGGTGTAATTGTAGTTTCATCTTGTTTTTCATAGGTATGTCTGTTGTGCTGGTTATATGCCCTGCAGCGGCAAGTGTTATGAAAGTTCTTGTACTGAACTTTGCCTTGGCACTGAGGTATGGGTTTTGTTTGTCAGTGCCGTTGCTTTGTTTTTCATGGTCTATGTTCTCAGCTTCTTGGTTAAAACACAACTATGGAATTTGTGGCTACAAGATATGCCTACATTTTTTTCTTATAGCTTCTATTTCAAAAAGGAGAACATGGGTTTTTTTTGTTCAGTATTCATAGAATGCCTTCTCCTAAGTCGTCACTATTCAATGAAATGATGAACTTAACATGCTTTGATGTGAAATTAATTCGTTATAAACTGACGTGGCAATTGTAAACGCTTTTATTTCAATCATTAATTACATTTAATTTCTGCTAATTTCCTGGGTTTCTGTTGCTTTGGAAATTCAGTGGCCGCTACTCGCTTTCTGTTGCAGGATGAATTCAACATCCAGACAACTCGCTGAGATAATTTTATTATTGTACTGCTGTAAATATCTCTCATCTGTAATTATGTATGCACTTATTTACCATTTGTTAATCATGTTTATTTGTTGATAAACAGGGGTTTATGTTATGCCTTCAACAAGTTGCATGCATATTTTCCATGGTTGCATGCATTGTTGGAAGTGATGAACTTCGGGAGGCTTCTCAGATTTTGAATTTGTTGGCTGATCTAGTTTATTGCACGTAAGGGTTGTTTTCCTCTCCCTCGTATAAGGCTTTAGTAAAAAAATGGCTACAGAATATCATACTGACTCACTGTATGTTTTCCTTTGCAGGGTTTGTGCATGCAGGCAGGTATGCAACTATGCAATTGACTCACTCTTATATATGAGTTTATGCCCAACGGATCTCTTGAGAAGCTCATTTTCTCAATGATAAACAACTCAAATCATCGTCCATGGAGTTGGGAGAAGCTACTAAACATTGCAATTGGTGTTGCACGTGGAATAGAGTACTTGCATCAAGGATGTAACCAAAGGATCCTTTGTTTTGATATCAAGCCACATAATATATTACTAAAACATAATTTTCAACCAAAGATTTCAGATTTTAGGCTTGCCAAGCTATGCTCAAAAGAACAAAGCATCGTATCATTGACAGCTGCTCGAGGAACTGGTTATATTGCTCTAGAGCTCTTCTCCAGACACTTTGGAGTGGTATCTTATAAGTCTGATGTGTATAGCTATGGAATGATGTTATTAGAGATGGTTGGATGCCAAAAGAATATGGATATTACAATTGAGAGTGAAAGCCAAATTTACATTCCTCAGTGGATCTACAACAAAATGGGCCAAGGAAAGGAGCTTTATCTAGAAATTGAGGTAGTTGGAGACGAGGAAATTGCCAAGAAGCTTGCAATTGTTGCACTTTGGTGCATTCAATGGATTCCAACAGAGAGGCCTTCAATGCCAATGGTTATACAAATGCTTGAAGGTGACTCACAAAGCTTAGAGATGCCTCCGAGGCCTTTTGTTTCTTCAGATGTTGAAATGTGTTAAAAAATTATTTATTAATAATGCCATTTGAAACATAATGTATTAAATTTCCTTTACAAGTTTTACAGTGGCGGAGTCAGAAATTTGTTTAAGAAGGGGCAAATTTTAAAAAAAAATCAATTAATTTAAAATTTTCGCAAAACTTTGATCTTGACAGTATTTTTTTTTTTTTTTTTTTTAATTTAAAGAAGAACTAAAACCCAATATTTTAAATATGGGTTTATAATTTTCTTAAATATAATGAAGAGTTGAGCTATCGACACCCGACTGATAGAGTAAAGAAGTCTCATTTCTTAGTACAACCTATTTCAAAGTTTTAAAATTAAATTTCTTTTCTTATGCACTTCATTTCATTTTTTGTAAAGGTTAAAATAGTTAACATTTCATTCGCTTCACTTATACTATAGACCCCACACCATCATTATTCATAAAATAAGATTTCAGATAATTAAATTGAAAGTTTAGAAAAAATTAAAGTTAAAAAGAATCCTTGCAAATAATCCCAATAATGTATTGTTAGTTAAACAACACAATATATATATCTTATAACTTTTGTATTGTTTGTAACTTGATATATCTTGTTACAAATCTTCTTCCTACATTAAATTAACTTTATATTTAAATAATAATTTGAATAGGATAAAAAAAAAATTAGGGTTTATGAGATAATAATAGAGGGCCACTGATAGAAACTTACCCCAATAACTCAAATAATTGGGTTGAGCTATAGGTCTTTTATGGGCTTAGGTAGAGCTCTCCAGGTAAATAATAAACAAAGGTCTTACTTTTGTACGCAATAGAAAATCAAACCTAAGACTATAGGTTAAAGCCATGTACAACGGGATATTTTATTAAAAGGCCAAATCAAGTTCAAATTTAATTAAAAGGTCATGTAGTTTGAAAGTGTTAAGTAAATAGTCTTATTATTGATTAAGGTTAATTAAACATGATTAGTGATAAATTATGATTAATGAAGTATTGTGTAATCTTTTAAAAATTATAATATGTCCCCAAAGAGCCAAAATTCTTGCAAACAAACCCAAACACCTTCTTCTTCTTCCTCCCGCCATTAACGCATCTCTCCCCTAGTTGTTGTTTCTTCTTCGCTTCGTATACATCTTCTTCTTCTTCTTCCGCCATTAACATCTTCTCTGCCAAAGATCTGCCTCTTCCTCCTCCTAACATTTCGTCCCGGTATGTGTATCTTCTCTTTGCATTTTATATTTCTATTTACAAAGGTTTAATGATGGATTGGGTTTGGGTTATGATTTCGATTTAGTGGTTTAGGTTTTTGGGTTGTGTTTGATGTAATGCGAGTTGAAGGAGTGAGATTTGTTGATGATTTTCTTGCATTGTGGCTAGTTGGGGTGGTAGCACCGATTATAGGTGAAGATGACTGAAAATGTATTCCGAAGCTAATTAATCGCTTAAGCGATCTGGTATAAGTCTGGTATATAGCAGCAGATTGCTTAAGCAATCTGGTATAAGTCTGGTATATGACAGCAGATCGCTAAGAGATTAGACTTATTTATACCAAATCGCTTAAGTGATATACTAGATCGCTTAAGAGACTTTGCAAATGTTTTTTAAAATATGTCAACCCTTAATATATCGGTTAATAATTTTTTTTCTTGCATTATAGGCACTTTACTATTATTAGACATGGGACAAGTTGTTTTGGGTGTTGAATATTTTGGTGAGTGGCTAGATGCTATTCCGTTTACTTGTTCACTAGTTTCTCTTGGCTATATGTCAATCTTTTGTGGTGCATTAAATTGATTTTATATTTTTGTATTTTCAGCTATGCCATCAAGAAGAAGGATGAAATCGAGAGAGTTGCCAAGGCCAACTGTTTCAAATTTTTATGTTGACAATTGGATATCTTTTTGTTTGAAGTTTTGAATAGATGATAGTAAGGATGCTTCTAGTTACTTAATTATTGCTCTTATTGTGCTACTAAATTCATTCAATATTGAGTTGTTATTGTGCTACTAAATCAATTCAATATTGAGATGTTATCAATATAGGATCGCTTAAGCAAGCGATGACATCACGTAAGCTAATTTTCTTGAATTTGAGAAAGAAATGTCAAGTACAAATAAAATTAGCCTTGGTTGCTTAAGCGACGTTGGCTATCGCTTAAGCGATCTTGAATTTGAGAAGGAATAGTCAAGTACAAAGAAAATTGGCCTTGGTTGCTTAAGAGACGTAGGCTATCGCTTAAGCCGTCACGACTTATCTGTATAGGATCGCTTAAGCGAGAGCTGACATCGCTTAAGCGATCAAGGGTAATTTGTACTTAGAATAGTCCTTATCAAATAGACAGTCGCTTAAGCGATGTCAGCTCTTGCTTAAGCGATCTAGTATAGATAAGTTGCGATTGCTTAAGCGATAGCCTACGTCGCTTAAGTGACCAAGGCCAATTTGTTTTTTTTCTCCTCAATCTTTTGATATTGTGAACGTTTGAGTGAGAAATTATATTTCGTAATGTGAAATGAGTGAGAAATTATATCTTTCTCAAATACATATTTGTGAAATGAGATACGTTTCTACTAACGTGTCACACTAGTGTGCTATGACATTTCTCCATGTACCATAGGGTTGTTAGTCACATATTGCAACTATTGTATTTTGGTGTTGTGAACGTTCGAGGTTTAAATTAACGGTAATAATCTTCTTAAATGACCTTAATATGTGTTGATGAAATTAGGTTGTCAAATAATCCTCCATAAATGGCCTTAATATGTGTTAATAACCAATGTCGCTTAAGCGATCAAGGCTAATTTGCTTCTTTTCTCTTGAAGCTCGTGATGTTGTGAACGTCCCAAGTTAACATTAACGTTACTTAATATGGGGTTGTCAAATAATCCATTTAAAAAACAAGATTGCTTAAGTGATGCATCTCTCATTTAAGCGATCAAGTATATATAAGCCTTGAACGCTTAAGCGATGTGCGATAACCCACATCGCTTAAGCGACAAAGGCTAATTTGTGTCTAAATAACCCTCAAGTACACAATCGCTTAAGCGATCTAGCATATATAAGCCTTGGTCGCTTAAGCGATAACCCACATCGCTTAAGTGACCAAGGCTAATTTGTGTCTAAATAATCCTCAAGTACACGATCACTTAAGCGATGTTTGCTCTCGCTTAAACGATCCAACATAGATAAGCCTTGATCGCTTAAGCGATAGCTCACATCGCTTAAGTGATCAAGGCTAATTTGTGTCTAAATAATCCTTAAGTACACGATCGCTTAAGCGATCTAGCATATATAAGCCTTGATCGCTTAAGCGATCCAACATATATAAGCCTTGATCGCTTAAGTGATAGCTCACATCGCTTAAGGGACCAAGACTAATTTGTGTCTAAATAATCCTCAAGTACATGATCGGTAGCTCTCGCTTAAGCAATCCAGTATAGATAAGCCTTGATCACTTAAGCGATAGCCCACATCGCTTAAGCGACCAAGGCTAATTTGTGTCAGTAATCCTCAAGTACACGATTGCTTAAGCGATGCAACTCTTGCTTAAGCGATCCAATATATATAAGTCTTGATTGCTTAAGCGACCAAGGCTAATTTGTGTCTAAATAATCCTTAAGTACACGATCGCATAAGTGATGTCAACTCTTACTTAAGCGATCCAACATAGATAAGCCTTGATCGCTTAAGCGATAGCCCACATCGCTTAAGCGACCAAGGCTAATTTGTGTCTAAATAATCCTTAAGTACACGATCGCTTAAGCGATGCAGCTCTCACTTAAGCGATCCAGTATATATAAGCCTTGATTGCTTAAGCGATAGCCCATATTGCTTATACGACCAAGGCTAATATGTGTCTATATAATCCTTAAGTACACAATCGCATAAGTGATGTCAGCTCTCGCTTAAGCGATCTAGTATAGATAAGCCTTGATCGCTTAAGAGACCAATGCTAATTTGATAATCTCATCAAAACCATTAAAATTGTTTTCTGATTCACTAATAAGTGTTCAACAAATAAGGAAAAACTAATAAAACAGCAGCCTAAAAATTTGTCAACCAAGATCCTCACTCACCAAACAATCAATTAAGAGACAAACTGAGGAACTTATATTGATTAACAAGAACAAATGCAATAAAGAAATCTGGAAAATGATAGTTCCAATAGTTCTAGCAGTTCCCAAAATAACAACCTACCAAAACATGCATTTTGTCTTAACTAAATACACTTTTAGTCCCTACTCTAAAGATTCAATGGATCCTGCCAACCCTTTCTAGCTAAATACACTTTCTGCTACTCAAAAAACACAGCCAAATCTATTCCATGATTTTTGTATCTCCACTAGCTTCAGATGCCTTCCTTTCTTCCTCCCTTTGTTGCTTCAAAGTTTTTGAACCATTAATAGACAAATCACCAGGCTTGCAGAAAAAGCAATGTCAAATTCCTCATCATAATAGACAAAAAAAGACATGAACTATGAGGCTTGGAAGGAGTATGCAACTAACTCTTGTTTGCTTGACAGGTTCTTGTATCTTGCTGGCATTACATGCAATAATCTACCTTGGAAAATTGAATTATGTACTTCTACAATGGCCCTGCACAATCAACCAAAAATGTTAACAAATGACTAAAATAAAGAGGAAGAAAATGTACTCTTGTTTGCTTGACAGATTCTTGTTTCTTGCTGGCATAATGTACAAGAGAGATAATGAAGGGCAAACCCTACAAGGCTGGCTACACGTGGACAACCATGTAATATGCAGGGCAAGACCCAAGCCCCCTTATTCAACTATCTTTGCCAACAAAAGTCATCCAACCTGCCATAAACAACCTACCTAGGGACTCCCTTTGCTTCCACAGTCCTTTGGAAGCCCAAAACACCCACTCCTCCGATGCTCTCCAACTGCTCGACAAAATGCAACAATGACCTTAACAACAAACACCAACCAAATATCCCTAAGTTGGCACCAACAACCAATAATTTCATAAAATATATAGATTATTACCTGTTCTTTCTCTTCTTCCACCTCCTCGCTGGAATTTGTACTGGCGTCCTCCTCTTCATTTTCAATTTTGAATCTTTTCGTCCCTTCTTCTGTCGGTGGGATGTCTTCTGTCAGCGTTGTCTCCTCTACCGGTGGGGTATCCTCTGCCAGTGGAGTAACTTCAATCATCGGAAGTTGCTCCACCGCAATCTCTTCTTCTCCATTTTTGTTAGACCTAGTGGTGCCTACAATTTGGGGAATTGATGGGTTTTTTTTAGTTTCTTTAAGGATCTCACCATTGTAACTTAATCAGGAATGGCAAGGAATGGAAAAAATGCAAAGAGCAAAGAAATTGAGAAATGGTAGAGAATTGGAAGAAAAAATGAAAGAGAGGAAGGTGTTTGAATCGTATTTTGAGAAAGAGAAACTGAGATGAATGTGTTTTGCCTTTCAAATTTTTAACCAACTTCTTTTTATTATACTTTAACCCACAAATGTTTAAATCTTTTCACCCTAACCCTTTTTGCTGCTTTAATTACGCTTAAGTGTGCCAGGTAAGATTTTTAAACAAAAAAATCAAAAATCAAAAAATCAAAAACCTTTTCAAGGTTATATTCTCAATTCGAAACTTGGGAAGGCATATCAATTAACTTTTCTCCAACTTCTTTGCTTTGCTCTTACTTATGGGCTACCAATGGATGAATATATATATAATGATAACAATAGTACTAATCTCACAAATATTTTTTACTAACCTTATGTGGTAGTTTGCAATTGGCTTGGTTAGGTGGAATCTATTGTTGGACAGATGAGACCCTCACAAGCTAACCAATTGTGAGCCAACAAGTGGTGTTTGTGAAAAAAAGTTAGTGAGAAATATTTGTAAGTGTATTACTCTAATGATAAATCAAATGATTGATTGTTGATTAGGACATGATGACATGATGTGGTCATTAATCAATTTGACTTAATCAAATCAATTTTAATAAGAGAGGTCCATCAAACTTGGAACTTCAAACTTTATACCCAAAATAGATATAAGATTGGCTATATTACCTAATTGACAGTAGAATCTTTTGTAACCTACCCCACTCAATTTATATTATCGACCTTTTGTTTTATTCCAACCAAAATATAATTACTTTATTAAAAGTCATTCTATAATACCCATTTAGTACCACACATAAATAAATATTATTAATTAAAACTAGATTTAGTATTTTTTTGGATAACTGTAAGTTTATAATGAATAGAAAATAACAACTAAATGGGAGAACCTTTAAACAAGTCAACCCTTGGAGAAAATAAGGGGGATCAGTAACAAAAAGAAAACGAAAGGAACGAGGATAAACAATCTTTTACAAGAGAACTCATTAACTAGATTTAGTATTAAATACCTTTATAAAGGAATTTTGATACTTTCATAGTAGTTTTTCATATGATTTAGAAGAATTTTTTTGAATTTATTTTTACAATTTAAATAATTTACCAAAAAAAAAAAAAAAAAAAAAGAAGTTGCCAGCAACAGATGTATTCTAGCCTATGAGTGAAACAACAGTTGTAACACATATTATTAGTCTTAATATAAAGTTTGATTGGATTAGCTCTACTGTAAAACATACTTTAAGAGTTTAGAGGGATATTAATCCATCTTCAATTGAAAAATGGTCTGCAACTGGATGATGGGTACAGTTAGCTGTTTAATAACTGTAGAACTTGGTTCTTCACAAAAGGAAGAAAAGAAAGAAAACCCTTTAAAAGTTTTTCTTTTCTTTTTCTTTCTTCTCCTCCTCTTTTTCTTTCCATTATGATCATTTGTTGCCTTAACAAAAGTTTCATCATCAGTGACATAGGGATCTTTCTAAAGCCAGTCCACTTAACATTCATAAACCATTCGTGTGCATACTTATGATAATATATTCTGTTAAATAATATGCAGAAACAATCACCAACGAACTTATAGAACTTGGAAAATTTTGATTTTATTCTCCTTGGACTGGGCAGAGGGACAACTTTCTTAACCTACATTCTCCTATACTCATCATGTTCTCAATCCCGAGACTTTTCTAATAAGCCTACTGGTTAATCATCTCATAATCTATGGCTGTACAATATTATTTCTTTTAATATTGATGTGGTCAGAACTCAGAAGTGTGTTTTTGGAATCATTGTTTGCTGGGTGCGTCTATATACGAATATGATCAATTTTTATGATAAACATTCTTCTCTAATAAGCCTACCGGTTAATCATCTCATAATCTATAGCTGTACAACGATAGGATATTGAAGCTAATTCATTTAATATTGTTTCTTTTAATATTGATGTGGTCAAAAGTGTGTCTTTGGAATCATTGTTTGTTGGGTGCTTATATATACGAATATGATCAATTTTTATGATAAACATTCTTTTCTTTACTGCTTTCCCATTAACTGAGTTGATGTCTTCCATTTTATTCACATTAAATTTTTTTTTTCATAAAGGGGAAGATGTTTTTGTAGTCTTCAAGTGATCACTCTATCATAGATTTTGAGACCAAGAAAAAAATTGAATCAATTAGGGAGCCGTAGATTGAAAAGATTCGGTCTTTGTCTTGCCTTTTGTGACTTTAATTAGATGCTCATCAATATATCGTTTTCTTTTTCAGTTTCCATTGTCAAATTTTCACTGCAGTAGCCTAATATAGGCATAGGGTTGTCAAGCTCAACAAGGAAACTAGGTTCTTTCACAGAAGATGTTCATATCTTTTTCTGTAAAGAAGGTGCCCAGATGATGGTCCATTATTGATAATGCTAGAATGGGGGAGATTCCAATCTTGATCAAACACAAAGACTTTTGTCCATTCATATTACTAACTTTACTGGTGAAAGCATCTCCTTGTATTTCCATATATTATTCATCGATGCCACGAGCCTTCCCACATGATGAACTGAGACAAAGAAAATGTTATAATACATAGAGACATGTACTCTCATCTTTGGCATATCAAATTTTCAATTTCAGGTGATCGAATCCAGTACATGATCTTGTACATTTTCACATACGTTGAGTACACTTGAATATAAGTATATTCCAGATTTCGAACAAGAATTGCCCTTTATGGCTGCCAATAGCATAGACTTACAGTATTCCCTTTGAAAGTGAGGCCAACTTGCAAGTTGCACTAGATTTGTAAATGGCATTGAAGTTAAAGATCAATTACAATTCTAACATCAATGGAAACTACACCTCAAATGTTGATGAGAATTCAATAAAGAGAGCTAAATTCCTGAATGGAGGTGGCATCTGTACACTTTAATATTACTTTAAAATAAGGTCAAATTTGATTCCCAGGTAAGACTAAGAGCCAACACAGTTACACAGAATGGTAGAGCAGATGGATCATTTTAAGATGATCTCATCTCATGCATGCATGCAAAGACCACCAAGGCCTTTTTTTTTTTTTTTATTTGGCAGTCTTGAAACAGAGTGGTATGAGCTGGTCCCTTTCCCTTAACGAAATTCAATTAAAAAGAAGGTATATATTTTCTTAACATTTCAAACCATACGACTGTTTCAATTATGAGTTCGATAACATATTCTGGAAAGCCATTTGAAGATTTAAAGAGACAGAAACTTGTAGTCTCATAATTTACAGTTAAAATAAAAACTAAACAACGGCTGGTAGCAAAAGGTCAAAACACTTATTACGTAAATTAATTTAACCTTAGTTCTATTGACCTAAACATTCATTCATCCTAATTGGAAAAAGCTTCACCATCTATCTCCAAAGCAGCCATAATACCGGAACTGCTCACAAAAGCTGCTTCTCTCATTGTCACATGATCTTCTTTTTCATGCAACGCACGAAAGCTACAAAAAGTCAATCAACACATGAGACTTTATAATGTTATATATAACTATAACAATAGTCAGGAAGGAAACTATATAATAAAAGATAATTAAACAAACATATTAATTACCCAGAGCTCGTCTTCGCCTTCATTTCTGGTCGAACTCGAACATGTAGCTTTGGAATCTCTCCATTTTCGTCGTTGCTTACGAATCTGCCACGTATACGTGGTCGGTTGTCCGCTAGCGTTTTGCGGCATGCATACTTGCATCAACAGAAAGAACCAGAAAAACCAACCGCATTTAATTCATATTAATTAATCAAACTACACATATAATAATATAATCATGATTTTACTTTCTTTAATTATTAGTAACATTAAAATTTGATTACACAAATAATAAATTAACTACCTTAATCATCTTCTTGAAGTTCCTTTTATTTCGTTTAGCTCTGTACTTCAAAATCTTTTCTTGTCTTTCTTCAGCACTGCAACGCCCAACTTTGAAGTTTGCTTCCTCGCTAAATGGGCTCTCTGTTGCTAAATGTCTTGAAAAAGACCTCTGTGTTTTATGTGCTGTTCTTATATTCTAAAATACCCACGAGAATACAAAAGAAACAAATGTTTAATTAGCATGAAAGTGACAAAAGAAAAAGGAAAAAATTTACCAAAAACAGATAAAAATAGGGGATTCAAAGTAAATAAATTACTTGTAAATCTCCACTGAAAAAATTACTTCTAGGTGAACTCAGGGCTTGGTTGTGGAAATTCGGAGGCTCCATCAGAATATCAAAGCGAGGTTGAAAGGGCAAACCAGACTTATTATCGAAAGAATTGATTCTATAACTCATCTGCGTATACTTTGCTACATTTTCAACACCACTATGACTGTGAGGAACAAAGGATCGTTGTTGTTGATTACAACAAGAATCAAAACCCACCAAAGACTCCTCTCTTTTGACTTCCATGGCGTCTAAACTAGAGAAATCTTGGTACCCTTTTGCAAAAGGCTGCAAATAAGTAGATTGGCAAAGGCTCAGATTTTCAAGAAGGTGACTTGGCGGCGAAGAAGAAAGAATAGTATGTGCAACTTGGTCCATTAAGGAAGACTCATCAACCGGTTGATTTGGATTTATTATTGAGGTGATGTTTGAGTTTGAGATTGCTTGAAAGATATCAAGGGAAGAATCAAAGAAAGGAGAAAAAGGTTCAGTGTAAAAATTAGGGTCTGCAGCACCAAAAGAGGCCATTTCTGGGCTTGAATGTTGGCAGTAAATGGAGTTATCAGAATCATAAAAATCAGAAGACATTTTTAACTGAAATTCTTTGATTGAAATGATCTCTAAAACCAAAACACTAAATAAAAACAATAAGGAAAAAGCTGTTGACGTTGTTGTTGTTGTTTCTACAGAATTACTAATATTTTTTTCATGACTATTTGGTCTGTGTATTTGGACGTGAAGTGCCAGAAGTGGGCTACCGGCTTTATAGATAGCGGACGAATGTAAACTTTATTAAAATTTTAAACATTCCCCATATACTTTTGATTCTTCATCTTGACACCCTAGCTCAGTAGCTCGTAACCTCCTACTTTGACTGTCACTGTCATGACATTAACCACCATCCATTTTATAAATATTAAATAAAAAAGTTAATCTATATTTTAATTAGAAATTAAAAGAATCCATAAGGTTTACTTATTGTTGCTATAATGTTAACGAGATTGGAGTCTATAATTTCTTTTACAATCTTAAGAGATTCAATCATTTGAATTAGTTAATTAATACACAATCCAATATAATTTCTCAACATATTGAGTTTAATTAGAAATACTATCTTAGTTAATTTATTGATATATGATAAATATAATTTAATAATTATCATACTTGATAAATTATCTTGATTCAAATAGTAGTGTGTGTGTATATATATATGATATTTTGGCTTATAGAAATGCAAATTTATGTGATATATAGAATGATATTATCGATCTATTGTTTTATTCTAAGAAAAGTGATAAATTGCATATAGAAAAATAAAAATATAATACGTTACTATTTTTTTTATTATTTTTTTTGTAAAAGTCATTATATGATATCAATTTAGTATCATACATAAATAGATATTATTAATTAGAAGTACATTTATGTAAGAAAGATATGAAGGACTTTTGTTATATATATAATTAATGGGTAATTTTCGAGAATACTAAAGAAAGAAAGATTTTGATTTTAATGCACTAAAAATTGTTTATTTTTTTGTACATAATATGTATTAAAATAAGTAATTTTTTTTTGTTTTTTGTTTTGTTTTTTAATGTTCTTATTGTGTGCCCTCTGGGTAAATAACACATGTTAAAACAACCCATAAATAATTTAGGAGCTTCTTTCATTAAACATTATAAAAATTAAAAATCACTCATCGGCTAGAATATGACTGTTGCTAGCAACTTTTTAATTTTTTTTTTGTAAATTATTTAAATTGTAAAAATAAATTCAAAATAAAATAAAATAAATCTTCTAAAAATATGGAAAACTCCATATGAAAGTATGAAAATTGCTTTATAGAGGTATTTAATACATTTTATATTTAATGGTGCTCAAAGTCCGCCAACATACCTAATGGTGTTTGAGGTGTTCTAAATCACCCCATTTTACAGCAATTTTCAAAAAATCCAGAGCCAACCAAATATTGTATAAATATTTATAACGCATGAATAAAGCACAAATGCACAGTGTCACTTTTTACATATATAAGAGCTTAGCACTTAAGCTTTCAAAAATATCTTTTCAAATTCTCAATTGCCAAAAGGTTTTATTAAAAAAAAAGATAAGATAACGTGAATAAATATCATCCTCTAGAAATTCAATCGTTACACACAGGCCAAGTGTGCTTCCACCGTTAGGAGTTTGAACAAATCAAAATCAAATTACCATGAAATTGCGGGAAATAGTAATAAAAGTCCACCAAAAAGTATATAAATAAATAATTTTTATTACTATTTTTCTTAAATAAAAGCATAAAATCATGTTTTAATAAAGAATGTTGTGTGTGGTTTTTCCGCCAAGCTCGGGTCAACGCAAGGATATAGCTCGACTCAAAATGAGTTCGATAACAATGATTGATCGACCTAGCATAAGCTCGTCGAACCGAAGCTCGACCAGAACAAGCTAGTTGAGGACAGTTCAAGGAATCATTTAATCAACTTTCAGATTATTTCAGATCCCAGACATTACGGGAATGACTAGATCAATCGTGATCACTGCGCAATCTATATCAATATTTTGGCGTTAGAAGGAGGGCCTCCGCAAATATTTCGAAGATTCTGGCAAACGTTCACCACAATTTACTTGTCCTATGATTAAAATGGTGTTCACCAGATCAAGAACTACCACCAGAAATCACAAGAACATAGAAACCACCCATCAAGAGGTGCAACAGGAGAACACTGGATGCCGACCACTTGTGTTGCCAGCTTAACATGCCGCAAACAACCAGGGGGCAGGGACATCAAACCCTGAGAATGGCCAACTGATGGAGATGATCAGGACAATGGTTGCATAGGCGATGCAACAGAACGTGGCTGAGCTGAGGAACCAACAACCAATTGCCCAAAACCTTGACCAACCGCGCTTCGCCAACGACACCCCAACAGGTATGAATTCTGCAGGTGGACAGTCTGCTTCATCACCACCAAGGGGCGATCAACACCTCCAACCTCGCAAGCAGCACTCCACGCACGAGCATGAGTCCTGCGGGCAAACAAACCCCGGGAGGTGACTAGGGAAGTAGTCGTTGAGGGAAAGCGAAGGCGATGGACATAACTGAGAACCTCGGCTGTATCCCTAGTGTCAGCATGCCGGTTTTAACTCACACTCAAGACCAGATCAATCTTCATAAGCCCGCAAAGTGAACCATGTGTGACAATATGGCAATGATCGACATTCCGATTATGATCGACATCGCGAGCAACACACTGACAAGCATGATAACACCTACCAACCCAGCCATCATGACTCGACCTTGCGCATCAACGCACACACCGGAGGAGCTTCACAAGCAACAGACTTGCGAACTCATTTGCTCGAGGTACAACTTAACAGAGCCAACCAGGGCAACCAAAGTGAAGACTTAGATCACATGCAAAAGATGCTCGATGATCTAAAAGCTCGCCAGAACAATCTGGTGGAGGAAATAGTAAGTTCCCCCTTTACAGAGGAAGTTCACCAAGCCCCGTTCCTATAAGGGTTCAGGGCGCCAAAGAGCAAGTTCGACGGGAGAGGGGACCCCATAAATCACTTCGATAACTTTAATGACCTAATGGAGCTACACCAGGTCAGTAATTTAGTAAAATGCCAGTGCTTCACAGTTATATTGGTCGGGGATGCCAAGAGGTGGTACAAGCAGCTTAAAGTGAACTCTATCAACTCTTAGCAACAATTCTCCGCACCGTTTCTACAATAGTTCTAGGCGAGGAGACAGTTTACAATGCCGCTCAGCTACTTGATTAACATTCTCCAAGAGCAGAACAAATAACTGACCTCATATTTAACGAGGTTCCAGAATAAGTAGGCAAAGGTCGCTGATGCCCCCGAAGAATCCATTTAGACTCTGCTGATTTTAGGGATCAGACCTAACACGGAGCTGTGGAAAGAGCTCTAGAGTGAAGATCATGTGAGCATGGCCAAATTCTACTAGATGGTTGCGAAGTTCTAGCGAGTATAGAGCTCGTTAGTGGCACTAGCCAGAAGCTCGATGCGTGGGGGTAAGGGGGAGCGAACGGAAGATAGGATCGTCCCTCAAATAAGCGTGCGGGCCAAGACTTTAGCGACAGGGATCGCAATAAATTTTAAAAGAAACAGAGAGTAGATAACCATGGAGACAGACAACCTTTCCCGTTGTATGCAAAGTATACCCCTTCACTCAAGACATCACCCACATCTATGAAGTATCCCGAGGGGCAAAGAGGTTGCCCGCTCCAAAGAGGATGAGAGGGCACTAAGCAGAAAAGATAGATAGAAATATTGCCGGTACCACAAGGATGTTGAGCACAACACGAATGACTGCCGAGCTTTGAAGGATACCATCAAGGACTTGATAAGAAGAGGTCATTTGAAAGAATTTTTCAAGGCAAAACCAACTCAAGAGAATCCTGGCGAGCAAACTAGCCAGATCCTGAGTCAGGTACAAACCCCAACTCAACATGCTCTACCAAACCCCAATAAGGTCTACGTGAATATGATCTACAGAGGATCGGATATAGCAGAAAGCTCGAGACGAGCTCACGAGCAATACGCTACAATTGCGAGGAATATGATTCATAGAAAGGAATTTGTGAGCATGCCCTTCGCCGCTTTATGGGTTCACCGGGGACAGCCTGGTTCCTAGAGGTACTATCGACCTCCCTATAACTCTAGGAGCGGAGTCGAAGGTCAAAACTATGATGGCTGAATTCCTAGTGGTGGTTGTCCAACCACGTATAATGTCATCCTTGGAAGACCAATCTTGGATGACTTAAGCACAGTCACATCAGTGCGTTGCCAAGCGATGAGATTTTCAACTTCTAGGGGAGTTGCGATGATCAGGAGTTGTACCAAAGAATCTCGAGAGTGCTACAATCAGGCTATAAATGCCGCACAGAAATTGCTGCATCCAAAAACAATGATTATCGTAGAATCCAAGCCGAACCCTAGACTTCTAGAGGACACTATAGATCCTCGTATTCATAAAGAAGAGTCTGCGACAGGACCAACCGAAGAGCTGCTAGAGATAAGTGTTAACAAGGAGGATCTTACTTATGTGTTGAAGATCGACAGCAGCTTGACCAGAGAGATGGCTGATAGTCTGGTCGGGTTCCTGAAGAAGAACCTCGACATATTCGCATGGGGCCACACAGATATGGTTGGGATCAGCCCCGAGGTGATGTGCCACATGTTAAATTTTAACTCACAAGCTCAGCCCATAAGACAGAAAAAAAGGGCTATGGACACAAAGAGCTCTCAAGCGCTCAAGGATGAAGTCGACAAACTCCTGGAAATCAATTTTATCAGGGAAATTAAGAACCCGGTCTGGCTCGCCAACCCAGTCCTAGTTAAGAAGTCGAATGGCAAGTGGTAGACTTACGTCGACTTTATAGATCTAAACAAAGCCTGTCTGAAAGACAGCTTTCTATTATCATGGATTGACCAACTAGTAGATGCGACAACGAAAAACGCACTACTTAGCTTTATGGACGCGTACTTGGGATATAATCAGATCCCAATGTACCAGCCCAATGAAGAGCATACTTCATTTATAACTGACTATGGAA